CTTAAAAAGGTCTACAAAAAAGTCCGGGATGGTATATGTCTATCTCTTAGGGATAACCCACAATAACCATTTTTTATCCTTTACTTTTTACGAAAAATAATGGCTTATTTACGAAGCGATTTTAAGCAATACAACATTAATCTTTATCCAATTAAGTACTTTTAAATACATTGTGCATTTAATATATATCAATATGGCCCTTTAAAGCATGTAATTTAAATGAATATTTTCGAAGACATTACAGATTTAAAATGCGTACACTTAGGATTGTTATTCATAGCGAAAGCTAGAGGTAGGGGTAAGTTGAAGATGTTAATAAAACATCTATAGGTAAATATTGTAAATAAGTTTAATTAAAAAATCAAACTACCTAATCAAAATAAACTCAGTCCAATACAGCCCTTAAAAAATAATGGCAATTCTCCAATAAAATTAAACAGTTTTTCGGCACAAACTAAAAACTTGACTTTTAGTTATCTTACCCCGTACCCTGAGTAAAATACGAACTAGGGTAAGATGACTTAATATTATAATCCAAATGTTCAATGTCCGTAATTGTAATCCCAAGATAACTGATAAAAGACAAGCTACACATTTGATTATAATATTTTTTTAGTGGACATATTGAAGAGTTGCAATTAGGATTTGTCCGTTTTTAAAAACCGGTTTTAAAAACCGGTTTTTTGGAGAAAATTATGAAATTCAAAAACCGGTTTTTTAGTAGAAAATATCGGTTTTNGTAAACGAATAAAGATAAAAGTAGTGAAACATACGCAAAACTGAGTAATAATGACTCAAATTACGTGGATTCTAATACTGTATCAATTGTTTACCTGAAAATTATTTATTGATTTGGTATTGTCATCCGTCACGATAAAGGGAATATATATTATTTTAACTCATGTAGCCATTATCTCTATTATTCTTTGTACATATAGAATATAGATTCTGACTGACTGACATAATCAAGACATAACCGGAAGGAACTATTAGTTCGATTAGAAAGGAATTTTGGGGGTATATTAGTCCAGGAAATAGAGATTTGAAAATGCGCTAATACACAACAGGAAACGAATTATGCTGGGCTGTAGGAAATAATACAGGGAACACAATGTGCTAAATTAAAACGCTCAATTATTTGTCAAAAGTAGGGTTTGTTGGTTTTTAAAAATCGGTTTTTTGGAGAAAATTATGAAATTCGAAAACCGGTTTTTTAATAGATAATATCGGTTTTCAATGTATGAATAACACTTAAAAAAATTTGAAAATGACAAATGTAGCCAAATGTACCAGACTGATAAAAACACTGTTGCAAGCGGTTTGGTTCTTGGAATCATCGGTCGTAAGCGGTTTGGTTCTTGGAATCATATCGGACCAATATAAACGGTGTGTTTTGTCTATTGGGTGAATTAATTTAGATTTTATATCAGTTTGATAGTTTTTATTTGAAGTTTAAAGTTTAAAGGAACCGGAAGAAGTGACTGGCTCAAACGCTAAGAAAAGAGTTTTTGGTCCTGGAAGCCACAAATAAAAGGACAAAAAATTTAGAATTATTATATCAGGCTTTAAAAACGATTGAGCCTAGTTCGGTCGCAAGTGAGAGGGTATTTTCTATTTCGGGGAATTTTGTGAATAAACTATAAGGACACGGCTAAATAGCAAATCGATAGACGTCCTCTGTTTTCTGAAATCATATTTCATTAAACAAAAACGTAAATAGAATATTTAAATTTGTATTAAAATTGCCCGGAATAGAAAATACTTGGTCCTTTGCTTAATTGTCTTTAAAACTAAAAATGATTTTAATAAGTATGTATGCATAAATTTTATTTACTCTTGTCTTTCGGCTTTGATTAT